AAGAGTAGGAGTAGAGAATAGTAGTACTAGTAGTAGTCGTCGTCGTCGTCGTAGAAGTAGTAGTAAGAGTAGGAGTGGAGAGTAGTAGTAGTAGTAGTAGTAGTAGTAGTAGTACTAGTAGGAGTAGTAGCAGTAGTAGTCGTAGGGGTAGGGGTAGGGGTAGGGGTAGGGGTAGGGGTAGGGGTAGGGGTAGGGGTAGGGGGAGGGGTAGGGGTAGGGGTAGGGGTAGGGGTAGGGGTAGGGGTAGGGGTAGGGGTAGGGGTAGGAGTAGGAGTAGGAGTAGGAGAAGGAGTAGGAGTAGTAGTAGGAGTAGTAATTGTAACATTCCAAAAAAGGTAGTAGCAAGAAGTCGATCCAAACTCTCGATCAGCACAAGCCGAGGCTATCTGAAAGCGACAGGGAGGTCAGGAGTATCGAGGACCTCTTCGTGGAGAGGCCGGGTTGGGCCTTTGCAGTTTTTTCGGTGTTGTTTTAGAGTTTGGGCTTGAGGCCTTTGGATTCCTGAACTTCCTTGATCTTTTCTTTTTGTCAGGCCTTGGGGTGCTTTCACCTGCGAGCGCTCTCATGTCGAGAACGGTCGGTCTCGCAGACAAAAGGGGCCCTCAAGTGAGGCTCTGATGCGGTCCCTGCTAGCCCCCAGACCTTAAACCCTCAGCCCCAGCAGACCCTAAGTTAAGAAACCCCTACGACAGAAGCTGAGCCATGCAACGGAGCCCAATTTTCCATCTTGGGGATGGCGGCTGCGAACGGGAAGCTCCATATCCTGAACCCGACCCACAACTCAACCCTGAAGTGTAAACCCTAAACCTCGCAATGCCTGCAGCTGGTGCTTGCTGTACATAGGGGTGAGGATTTAGAGGCGCATATCGGGATCCCAAAATCCCCTACACCTCGAAACTCGGCACCTTGCGACCCTAAGCCCCAGCAGGGCCTGAGAGGGTCCAGAGTTGGACTCCACTCCCCCAAAGCCTTAACTCTGGCATAGATCTCAGCCACGCGAGAGGAACAAAAATAACCGAAACCGTCAACCCCTCCAAAAAAGCCCTTAAACCCCAAACCCGAAACCCCCAAAAGAAAACCTAAACTCTGAGCCAGGCTCAAAGAACGGGAGGTGGCCCTCCAGCACCTCAGGTACGAGCACGCCGACTCGGACTGGGCAAAGGGGCCTGGGGTGCAGGGATTCTTTGGGTTTTTGGGCTTTAGGATTTGGGGTTTAGGGTTTAGGGTTTAGGGATTCTTTGGGTTTTTGGGCTTTAGGATTTGGGTAGCTCTCTAAATTAGGGTCCCGTTGTAGG